CCCCCGGATCGCTTTCTCTCTTTTTTTCTCTCTCTCTCTCTCTCTCTCTCTCTCTCTCTGTGTGTGTGTGTGTGTGTATACCTTTGTCTCTCTCTGGTGAGCTCACACCAAATTAAAAAATAATAATGCTACTGATAAATAAAATAAAATAAATAATTCTTCAAAAAATGTATACGATGCGAAACTATTCTCAAGCAAAATATTGGAGTCAATAGATTCAAGATAATTATATTAAACTACATCTTAAATGTACTCAGTAAGAATGTTACATTTTCTTGAATAAGGTATTTACCAAAATAGTTTAGGGTTGATTAGGTCATAATTTTAGTAATTTACGCTAGTTTTTAATACTTAAAGATAGTTGGTTCAACTGTTTGTACTAAATTCAGAATTTGAATGTTTCAGGGGGCATAATTAAATGCACTTATATTTTCCTAAACGGCTATTCATAAATTTTGGTTAGCTCCAAGCTATAATACAACTGGAATCTAAGTTTTAGTAAGAGTCACAGAATTATGTAATAGAGATTCAAAGTAATGTTTATATATTAAAACAATGCTATTTAAAAAGAGGTACTTTCTCACTGAAATGACGGTTTTACAGTCTTAACATTCTTTAGAAATAAAACTATAAGGACACTTTCACTATAAATTTAAAGTCAGAAACGTTCCCAGAGGTTGCAGATTTGTATAGTTTTTCTTTATCATTGTTTTAAATATCCTGTAAGTTCTAGAAAATATTCCTAGATTTACACAGACCTACCTTCATATTAATTTTAAATAAATTTAAAGTATCACTTGTAATGACATCAAGAATGCCTACTATTGAAATTAAACTATGGAGACTTGGTTCCTTAAAAATCGTGTGTGTGTGTGTGTGTTTGTGTGTGTGTGTGTGTGTGTCTGTGTGTGTGTGAACACACACATGTCTGCATAATATATACTGTAGTAAGGAAAAGGACAACTGCATGTTTTTCAAGGTATTTGAACTTAGTAGAAAGCAAGTATTTACCTTTTGTATTATGGCGTTATCTTCAAAATTCTCAAATATGACCCTGATATAAGATACCTAATAGCTAATTGCATAAATTGTATAATGGTTCATTTCATTTAGAACATGGACTAAATTAATGAATAAACAGATAAAGCTTTTGAAAGGTGAAACTGCAAATGCTCATTGAGTTTTGTCAAGTGGCTGACATGGTTACCTACAGATGTTAGCATTAGTTGAAATAGTAATTTCTCTCTCCTTTTTTATGGGTACATATTGTTCCTACATTTTAATAAAAGTTTATTACATATAATTTTCTATTTTGTACAGTAATCGTAGTAGAAAGTCATTTAAATGTATTTTTTTGGTTGAACATAGGATTTACGTAGAAGTCATTAAAAAGGCAAAATATATATGAAAATCATGTTTTGGTAAGAGTTTTCTTTAAAAATTGCATCTAAAATGCTTATTTCTGCTCCTAAAATTTATTTTTACAGTTACACATGAAATCTAAGAATTCAAGTAACGTAATAAATTCATATACCACTAAATTAAACTAGTGGCATATCATGCATGTAAAAGTGAAATTACAATTTGGATTTCCATTTTGGTTAATAAATGCTCAGTTAAACTCACATTACTATTCATTAACAAGACCATCATGTTTTAATTATAATATACTTTTGTCATTACAGAAGATGAAATCTACTGTCGTATTTGTTTTGGAATAAATTCAAAGGCTTTCCAGAATTTTCTCTTCTAAAACAAAATTCTAAGTTCTTTGACAGCCATGTCTCTGTCTTTCTTTCTCTCTTTCTCTAGCCCGTGCCTCTTCCTTTTTTCCTTCCTTCCTTCCTTCCCTTTTTAAAAATATTGCTGTGGGGGGTGTGTGTTCACCAGACAGAGAGAGAAGAGAGAGAGAGAAAGTGAGAAAGCTCCCTTCATGGGGGAACAACTACACTGTAATCCCTTCTCTTCCATTATTCTCTTGGGATTTTTTTGGCAAGTGTTTTTCCACCTACTGTGCCAGACTCAATCCATGCAGTCATTCATGTGAGATCCAGCACCTTTACCACCATGCCACCTTACTGGCCTGGACTTTGCTTTTTCTTAACCACTGTTGTGATTCCATACATTAGAATACTGTGCATTGCAGGAGTACAATAAATTTTGAATAAATGAATAGCAATATAGATTATAATAAATCCTTATTTAATTTATAAAATTATTGGATATATTTTACATTCTAATTTGAAAAGACATTATATTTGCCCTAAATTTTTAAATTAGAGATTTTACTAATTTTTCTAGAAGAAGATATTCTATTTTAGAAATCAGAGAGTAGCAGATCAAATTGAAGTTAAATTACAAATAAATAAATATAAAGCAGATTAGGAGAGAAATGTTTTAGAGATGAAAACGTGCTAAAATATTCCTAAAACCTTCATAAAATATTAGTTTGCCTTATTCTCCAACATTTGTAAAACATTAGGAATTTTTTCTAAGTATTTAGTTTTTCCAGTTGAGATCCTAAAGGTATTTTGATTGTTTACAAATAAATTACAACACCCTTAACTAAGGCTACAACTGCTCTGTCACATGTACATATACTTTTAAAATGAAAAAAAAATTTAAAAAAAGAACCTGTATACTCCTATGACTAGATGATCTATGTCTGAGATGTCTCATCTATGTTTCACCTTAATACGTTTACCAATGTGTTGGCTGAATTTCTGCTCATACCAGAAGAGAAGCATCTTAAGCACCTGAAAACTTACTGTGACTAGTTGAGAAAAAATTATTTACAATAAGAACTACATATAATAAATACCATATACAAGAAAACAGGGTTAACTGCAAATTCAGGAGAATAACAAAGTAGTGGGAAAATGTATATGAGGTGCTTCTGCAATATCAACATGTAGTGGATGGAAAGCACTGATGCTACTAATTCTATAAACCTACCTTGTTTTTAAGTGGCTGGCCCTAGCCCTTGACAATATTTTATTTTAAATAACAATACTCAGGAAATAGATAAGAACAGGTATTCCACCTAAATCCAGACATTAAAAAAAAAAAAAAATCCCAAAGCCTTAACTCCATTATTAAGAAGCTTACATAGCAACAAAACAAGACAACCATCAACCAATATAACAAAGAATAGGCTCTGAGACAAATCTTAATATAGTGTAAAGCACCTGAGAATTCTGATTTATTCGTGTGTAAACAAAAACAGTATTTGCATATGCTTCTAAAAATCCAAAATACTGAAACAAATGCTCATTAATATAGAATTATTTCATTGGACTCCAACTTTAAGGTGTTTAAACTCACTTTTCGTGTCACCCTCATTTCAGGAAGTATTCTGAGGTGCTTTATCAGAGCTGAATGCATTTTTTTGATGAAATCACCACAAATCTGGCGCTGGCTCCTGAAAGGAGGCATGTCAGAACCAACATTTCTCTTGGTAACCCTTCACTTGGTGGCCCAGAAGTCTCTAGGAGCCACCTGTCTGTGAGGAGGAGTTGACTAGTACCTGTCATTTTCCGGAGATGCATGCTGGATTTGAATCCTGGGGCTAGGAGGTCGTCGCCTATCTAGGGAGGGGGACCATCTACCCCTGTTTGCCCAGTGAACAAGACAGGAAAAAACAGGACATTTAGTAACTCCTAAAATAAAAGAACACATGGAACAACAGGACTGGAAAAGCACCCCAAAAAAGCAAAGTGTAGATTCTTCACTCCATAATTTAATCTTCTTTTGTAAATTTTAGAGAGATAAGTTATAACATCATAAAAAACAAAACCTGTAATGTTACAAGTGAATAAAGAATTCATTTGGAAAGATGTTTGGAATCTGTGCATGAAGTGTTACTTTTTTCTTTTAAAAGGTAATTATGTGCATATATGTATCCATATGGACATAAATGCGGCTATAACTTAAAAGTCTTAAAAGATGTATTGTTAAGAATCTGGCTTGTTTGAAAATTAAATGGGCTTAATGTACTACTGTTTATTTGATATAAGGATTTGAAATTATTGGGTAAAGTGGCATGGATTTAATGAAAAACAGGAACACAGTCATGTAGAGGAAATAAAAATGTTCTTTGGTGGAAAAAATGACGAGACCGATAATTCCTGGGAAGGCTACTGATGAAGTCTTAACTAGTTTTACTGTTGAAAACTACAGGGCTAATTACTGAAATTTAAAAAGCTGTAAGTAAAAACTACTGGGTGAATAAAAGTGGAGAATACAGATAAATTAAATGGCAAATTAGCATTGCCTTTAAAGTGTTTATTAGCCTTTATTTGCAAAAATATCTCTCAGCTGATTAAAGATCATGTATTTAATACAAAATAGGAACACAGTTATGTGGAGAAAATAAAAATGCTCTTCAGTGGAAACAACAATATGGCAGATAATTCCTGAGAAGGCTACTAGTGAAGTCTTAACCAGTGTTACTGTTGACAACTGGTCGTTTTTATTTTCAGCATTTACAAGAATGTTTTTCTTGTGATTAACAATTTGATACCTGGCTCATTCCTTTTAAATGATCTTGATCTTTGGTCTGTGTATAACCATTAATTATAAACAAGGAGTTGAAAATAAAGACGAAAATAAAAAATGCCACCTAAAGGACTAAACAGGACAGATTTGGAAATTTTTATATATTAGATATGAAGAACTTATAAAGATAATTTCTTTAAATATTGGTTTTCTCATATGTAACAAGAGATAATAGCATCATTTCGAAGGACTAATTTAAGTATAAGATTTTATAATTATCCAAGGAAACTAATTCTAATATTTTTAGGTCATCTTTCTTACCATCATAACCAGGGTGACTGGATTTTTAAAACATCTGGCCAAAAGCAGCAAAGATTATCACCATGTGAGCAGAATATTTGAGGTTCTCTATCCTAAAAACCCCTTTGCTTAATCAGTCTTAGGTGCACTCAATGACTCAAGTTGGGCTATGAGGAAGCCATGAAGCAAGCTGAAGGTATTCAACAGCAGAAGTTGGGCAAAAGAGAAAACTGTGTGGCATGTACTCTTATGTTACATATTTGTGTTAAAGTGAAACATGCTGTTAATTCTAAATTATTTAAACAGTTGCTCAATTCAATTTGAAGGCTTTAAAAGTTTTTTTTTTTCACTTCACTTGTTTTTTTTTTAATCCATCATAGAAAAAACATATTTCTAAGATAATTGGAAAACAATTTCAACCATGGTGTTACCTACATTAAGTTATACTCAGTTGTGTTAAAATTTATTGTATTATTTAAAAATACAAAAATAGAGCTAGTATTCTCCTGCGAAGTAATATTAACAAGATTATGAGTAACCTTGCTTTCTGAGGCAAAATTCCAGTCCTTGCGTTTATATAAGCGAAAAGTAAAGAAAAATGCTGTAATTGTGAAACATGCAGTGAAAGCAATGGAGGAGAAAGGTGTACATTTAGAAACAGGCGGCTGTGAATGCAAGCTATTCGAAGGTAATTTCTGAACAAATATCTGGCATAATACATACATTTCTGTACCACTCAGAGTCCTTCTGAATATGCTGATATGTAATACCAATACAGTATGCTTCCCTTCTCTCTCACTTATCAGATATAGTAAGAGCAGGAGCAGTTTACACCCATGTTCTTGTCCTTACATACTACTTAAGTTTTATTATCACATATGTTTTAGTATTAACTATGCGAGCATATTTTATACGCTTTTAAAAATGGGTCATAGTTCTTTTCTTTTTATATCACACAGAAAGACCAAAATGAGAATCTTTGTCCCTCACTCCTGCACTTTGACCCAAGTTATTGAGAAATACACAGTTTTAACTTTGACTTCTATTTTCATATTAACAAGCTAATGTGAAAAGCTATGTTGAAGATTTTAAGCACAAAATTTAACTAACTCAGCACCTTTTAATTTCTCTTTTCAAACCAGCCTACCTACAAGTTACATTTGTTAGTTACATTTTTAGTATATCATTAGTACTTTAATTTCAGGTATTCTAAATTCATTAATTCAGGAACATTGATTTATTGGGAGTCCACTCCTTTTGCTGTGCTCAGAGTAAAAGAAGAAAGATCATTCTGACAGCTACGGGATCGAATAAACAGACTGAATTCTCTAGAAAATAAAGTATGGTGGTGTGCGTGTTTTAACAATTGCAGTCAGATGCATAGCAGAGAATAAATAACAAATACTTGTAAACTTTTAAGTAGGTAATAAGGAGATAAGACCCTAGGGCTTTGTGGTAAATCCTGGCAAGAAAAAAAAAAAAAAAAACCAACTTTAAGAAATTAGCTGTGATGATAGATATGAGGGGACCCAGTGATGATACACAAAGCAATTGAAACAGCTAGACCTCTGTAAGTTTTAAGTGATTCTTATTTGCAGCTTTTACCCTCCAGAATTGATCAATATTAAAGAAAATGTGCATTTGTTTAAATGTGTAATTAACACCCATGCTCAGATATACACACATCTTTTTATTATTGTTTTTTTAATTTCAAGAGAGAGATTTTTGCCATAGGACACATATGCTCACCAGAGAGAAAGAGAGAAACGGAAAGTGAGAAATCACCCCCCAGGGGGGGTGGCCACGCCACAATCCCTTCTCCTCCATTCTCCTCTTGGGATTTTGGGCACACACGCACACACACAAGCACCCTGTGTGAGTTTTAAGCCGCTGGGTCCGGGACTCAAATAGCAGGTCGATCATGTGGGAGTTCAGTGCCTTAACCACTGCACCGCCTGCTGGCCCCCATACCCACATCTCTAAATGGTACATAGTCTATGGCAGAAGATGACTATGTAGCTAATTATCTAGAAGAGAAATTTCGCAGAAATTATTCATGTCATAAATAGCACAAAGCAAAAATGCTGGTGAGGTATTGGAACATTAGAAATCAAACCAAATGAGATAACTTATATAGATGTACTTTTATTGTTTATTCTAATTACTGCTTTTAGTCTTTTAAAATAATTTCCCCAATATTGTTTTAATTGAATTTCACTTATTTAATGATTATAGATACTTACACTTTGAAATAAGATTTATGATATTCATTTCCATTTAAGTTACAGTTGTTGATTTTTAGGTAGCAACCTCCACTTTCCCTTAGGTCTCCTGTTTCATCTCCAAGTAGAGAGAATTTCATTCAAGTAACCCTTTCCCTCACTAAACCTGGAGGAAGGAGGCTGGTTGAAGATCAGGTTCAGGAGACCTAGCCTTATGGATACTCTTTTCCAATCAGTGGGGTTCAAAC